ACCTCTTTCATCCTTTCATTTTCTGGTCCCTCTTGCTTTCTAAGCTACTGTCCAAATAGCTACTGTCAGGAGCACGTCCCTCCCTTGGCTTTCCCCATCGCAGAGCAGCTGAAGCCCCGCGAGCGTGAGTTTGTCCCCCGCCTTCGTCTCTCCTCCCTTCCATGCTCCCTTTTTCCCCTCCTTCCACATTCCTTCCTGACTCCTCACTCTTTTCTCGTCTACCCCGTCCTCTCCCCTGTCCCTCCTTCTTGTAGTGTCCCATCACCAACTCCAAGAAATTTCCTGCCCCGACTGCGTCTGCTTGGTGATTCGTGCTCGCTTTCGGCAGGTACGTGCTTCCATTCCGCTTTTTTACGCGTGCAGACATCGTCGGCCCATATATCTCTGCCCTCTGGCCTCTATGCCGCAGAGACGGTTCTGATGGCCACCGGCCCGCTCCTTTGGCATTATTTATTTTTCTGATATGCGTGATCCCCTCATCTCCTCTGCAACGAACGAATGACAACGATTTGCCCATCGATCTTTTCCTTGCTTGAGACTGCTCTTGAGTCCGTCGATGTTAGGATGATTGCGTTGCTATCCTGTCGCTTCCATATATTCTTTGTTCGGTGTGCATGGATCTCCTTTCATATCCCTACTTTTCTTGGCATATGTGACAGGAGCTCAAGTCGGGTTTCTGCTCCGTAGTCGACGACATTCTTGACCACTATCTGCATTTTGGTCAGATTGAGACGGAGGGAGGGCCAGAAGGAAAGGAACAGGTGGGAAAGAAGCGTGAGAGAGCAAGAGTCCGCCCGTTTCATCCAGTCTTGCAGACTTGTTTCGTGGCAGAAGGTCATGAAGTGCCATGGAATAACGATAATGATAAAGAACGGGAGGAAGTGAAAGAGCTTGAGAGGGACGAGGAGCGTGAGGAGAGGAAAAATGGTTGGGCGTGACGGGTTAGGAAATGCAGGAGAGGAGAAGGTTACACGCTGTATGAACCGAAGGCACATAAGTGTCCACAAATTGAGACTGCTCAAGAAAAGCTAACCATTTGAAATACGTATGTGCAAATTGAAATGCGTATGTGCAAAATGAAATGATCGATTGCGCAATGAACTGGAGCTTTGCAACGCTTGGGGGAGGTTGGTTTCAAATTTGAAAAACCGTTTCACCAACGGCGCGAGGCATCATGTCAAAGCAGCAACACACGTACCGTTTCAATGACGTCGGCTGGATCCACTATTATACTTCTACTTCTGCTGTTTTAAAAATGATTATTTTCCTTAGCACGTCAGGTGCAGCATGGACTGTATATCGTTGTCCCATTTGAGCGTACCCCCCCGACCGTCCCGCCCTTTTCTTCAAGTCTTCTCCATCCTCATCCTCGGCTCAGGGGTATGCTTGGGCAGCGCATTCCTTCTCCTTGATCAAATCCAGCGCGGCCTTCCGTCTCCTTATCCGGCTATTTTTACAAATACTACCTTGTCCGACGTGGGAAGAGTCCTTCGACAGCATGACTCGACAAGCACTACACAGCTCGTCTCTCTTTTGGACACACGTGTCATCCCTCTCCTTCATTCTTCTGTCTCATGGCTGTCCGATATTTTGACACAGCTTCATTACTGGTTGATACGAATGGATAGAGGGGAGATGGAGAATATGTGGGCGTTCACGACGTCTATGCTTCACTACGATAAGCGATGGGAGGAAAGTAGTGACGATAAGGGTGGTGCTGGTGGATACGGGAAAATGATGGAGGTAGGACAATTTATGAGAACCACGCACATGCAATACAAAAATCTGGTTCCTTTGTGGCTGGACGAGGCTTTCTGGTTGGCCTTGCGGGTGCTTGCCGTCTTCCTCGTGATAGGCGCCATGCGGTGGGGCCACCAGGAGCAAGAGGATTCCAAGACTGGGGAAGACTCAGGGAGAGCAAGGGATGC